CTGAACTAGATCAGAGCACATCAGGGAACCTCCATGACTTTCCAAGGTCTTCATGACCACAGAGAGTTCTAAAGAAATGAATTTCCAGATCCACTACTTCCATAGGAGCCCCTTTTTATGAATGATATGCCTGAAACGAGCCTGAAGCAAGCAGATTTCTAGCAAGTTCTCTTTTCCCGCTTCCTCTTTCATAATGATGCTTGTCCCGTTTTACAAAAGAAAGGTGGACCTCGCCCCCACTCAGAACCCTACTTTGTGCCTTGCCTGTCCAGGGTATCAAACATAGGGGAAAGGGGGAAAATTGCTATTAGAGACACTTTCTTTAGTCAAAGCAGTGATATCCACACTGTCCACACCTACTCTGATATATATTTCTAATACAGTTTAGTTCTAAGCTAATAACTAGAGAGAGAAGCCAATGGCAACCCACTCCAGTACTCTTGCCTGGAAAATTCCATGGACGGAGGAGCCTGGTGGGCTGCAGTCCATGGAGTCGCTAAGAGTCGGACACAACTAAGTGACTTCACTTTCCCTTTTCACTTTCATGCATTGGAGAAGGACATGGCAACCCACTCCAGTGTTCTTGCCTGGAGAATCCCGGGGACGGGGAGCCTGGGGGGCTGCTGTCTATGGGGTCGCAGGGGGTCGGACACGACTGAAGCGACTTAGCGGCAACAGCAGCAGCAATAATTACTTATCAAAAGTGAATGGGTTATTTTGGATAGTTGTGTACTAATAACTAGGCTTAAAATAACATAAATAATAATTTTCACAATCTAAATATTTATTTAAAAATGAAATCTCAAAGTACATGCTTCTTTTTGGTGCTGAGGTGTATTTGTGTGTGCTTAGCTGCATCTGACTCTGTGAAGCTCCATGAACAGTGTGCGAGGCTCCTCTGTCCATGGAATTTTCCAGGGAAAAGTACTGGGATGGGTTGCCATTTCCTACTCCAGGGGATCTTCCCAACCCAGGGATGGAACCTGTGTCTCCTGCACTGGCAGGCGAATTCTTTACCACTGTGCGATCTGGGAAGCCCGCTGAGGGGTAAGGAGAGCAAACGAATTGGAAAAATATATGGCTAAATATCTAACTAAAACGTTCAATTAGAAAATAATTTGAAAATGTTAGCAGTCAGTGCTAAAAGTGTGCAAATGAAAAAAAAAAGTGTGCAAAGGATACAGGTGACGCTTGTTGGGGTCAAGCCCCAACGCAGGGTTGGGGCGCCAACACCCCACTCTATGGAAAATCTGCTGTAACTTACAGCAAGCCCTGGGGACCACAGTTCCTCGGTGTCCATGTTTCTGCATCACAGAGTCAACCAGCCACGGACACTGTAGCACTGCGGTATTTACTGTCCCAAAAAAGTCTCATATAAGTAGATCTCACAGTTTAAACTTCTGTCATTCAAGGGCCAATGTATTTCCTCTGCCAAAGTTGCGTCAGAAGGCATATGAGCAAAAGAGCCAGTAAGGGGACTTCAGTGGTGCAGGTTTCACTGACTATGTCGCTGGGCTCGTGTGTCACGAAGATCATTAGAATCCCCACCCCCAACCTTACAGTCATCATATTTTCCTCTTCTGGGATCAGTTTCAGTTTCAGATCCTTTACTTAACCAAACACTTTCTGTCACTCTCCTTCAGCACTGGGAAAAGACATGACTTATAACATGGCCACCTAATAGGCATTCTGACTTTCTCTTACTCATTTTCACGTAGTCCACATACAGTCCTCTGCACTTCCAAAGATGACCTGCCATGCACCATTAGATTTTCAGTGGGATAAAACTGTATACATACTCTGCCTCCAGATATAGAATATGTACAAATACTAGCATAGGATTGAGCTGAGGTCAAAGAGCATTTTATTTCCTATTTCTGATTCTAGCACTGAATAACTTAAAAAGCGGTAACATTCCTTGACATACAGCAAGTTAGTAAGTAATAACATATACGAAGTTGACTGTAGCTATTTTAGTAAAATTCACCGTTAACGAGGAGTAAATACTACTAGCAAAACTCACAAATGTTCTCTCAACTTTCCTATGGGATGTTTCCACCCAATCCATAAAATAGGATACCAGCCAGCACATAAACAATGCTCAACTCAACAAACAATCTGTAATCACTGGATCAATAAATATAAGAGCTAATATTGAGCTAAGGAAAGAAGCTGGCTTCTTGCCAACTCTCAGACCATAAATATCTTCTGAAAAGGAGACTTCTCATACAGTTGACTATACCCACCTCCCCTGTGTTATGAGAGTGTCTTCTGAAGACTCCCTCAATTCCAGCCTTCTTCTTGGATGAATGGATATATAGGTAGATAGCTAGATACAGACATACATCAATCCACGTTTGCCTACTATTTGTCAAGCTCTATCAGCGAAAACTAGGTGAAATGGACAAGTTTTCATTCAGGAACCATAAAGATTTTCTTCAAGGACCAAACTTACATAGACATCATGTGATGTGACTACTATTTGCTCCAAAAGGTAATCTTTAAATACATAATTAATAATGTCAGTATGAAAGTACCATATAAGTGTTACTATAAAACCAGTGTTCCATCATTACCTCACTCTACATTGCAATGAAATCATGGCTGACTGTCACTGTCAAATTGTGAGAAATATTTCTATGGAAATAATAGCCTTCATAAATACTGGTGTTTTAAATCTCTACCGCTTTCTCACTCTGTGACTTTGGGAAAGTTATTTAATTACTCTATGGTTCAATTTCTCCAGTTATAAAATACAGCCCCTACCACCACAAAAGCTTACGATGATACTTTTTTAAAAATACACACATATTTATAACAACATCTGGGACATAATAAGAAGTCAGCAAGTGTTAGCTATGAGTCATATTATTTCCCATAGTTCAAGTTGTGGACCTGAAACAGTCCTCTCTGCATTATCACTAACTAACCTGCAAAGGAACTGTTACATAATGAATAAAACTTAGTATACTCAATGGGAGACAGGAAGAAAGGGCAGTTCTGTAAGTTTCAAAATGTTTTTGAAACTATTTTGTGTTCGAGATCCATTTAAAAAGATCATTAGAGTTATCGCTATTTTCCTCAGAAAAAGTCCCTTTATCCACAGCCTTCCTGAAGTCCAGGTTTGATAGCAAACCTGAGATGGAGACCCTTCTAGGATTTAAATTCGTCAATTATCAAACTCTAGACCACTGCTTTCCCCCATCCTCTAAAGAAATTTATAAACAAGAATTTCACTGACAAACATTATGTCCTGAGATACAGCTGTTGACATTTACATGTTAACTTCATGGATTAAAAGAAAAAGCATCAAATTGTTTTTCTTAAACCCACCAGTAAGCTGTAGGAAAATTCCTAATTCCAGAAACTGTAGCTTCAAATCAGGTTCTGGAGTTCCCATTCCAAATCAGCAGAAAACAGTGAACATTCTGCCTACCAGAAGTCCAGGCCAACACCCAACCTAACCCCTCTGTCACCCTGTCCTAGAGCAGACAATCCTGCTGGGAAGGCCATTCTGAGTATTATCAAAACTCTGAGAGGAGAAAACTGAGGAAGAAATACAAGGATGTGCCTTTTCTGCCTACCAGAACAAAGCTTCACAATCTTCTAGACTTCTTAACTTTGTTAAGTAAAATTTTAATCGTTTTATCACTTTTTAACTATAAAATGGCTATTGCTTTGTCATCAGTCCTTTCCTTTCTATATCTTTATGTTCTTCTCTTTATATCTGCTCCCTCTTATCTATCATGCCCACCGCACTGCTTTCCAATAAAATGACAGGAGTTTAGTGTATATCGTACCTTGATGCATTTCATAGAACATCCACCTCTGCAGAGTAGGATGCTGTAACCTAGATCTCATCTGTTTATTCAATCAAGTCAACTAAGCCGCTTTAAACACACTGACAAAATGAAAATGCCTATCAGTTACAAGGAGATGCCATCACCAGTGTCGTAACATCAGACAGTAGTTTTTAAAAACATAATGGAAATCGCTAGTGACAACCACTGTGCTTCCAGTTTTGAAACTTCTGACTCACCCTATTTAAAAATTATAAGCATCATTTAAAAATTAACTTTGCTTTACGTATACTTTGATGTTAACAAACTTTTAAATGCATAGAAAATCAAGTTAAATTCAATACATTATAAGCTAAATTCAAATACACTGTATATGCTTGCAACATCTCAACAACACTTGGAAAAATTAACTGGATTTTCATTTAAAGCCCCTTTGAGTAAGGAGCTGACGGCAGTACAAGTCTCCTGCGTTTCTTTGAAGTTTCTAGCACTGATTTTCTGGGAATAATATAAAGCCAGGCTGACTGTCAAAAGTTAACCATTCTGTAAATTCCTCTTCCAAGGCAGATAAGTGTCCTGATCAAAACACAGGAGGGCAATTTGACTGACAGAGTCAGACGTGCAAGCTCACAGACGAGTTGGCACCGGTCGGTGGGGAGTTCGGAGCGGTAGGGAAGAAGCGGGGGACTGCAGTACCTTACTTGAACTTTCTGAGCTGGATGAGGTGCAGAACTCAGCGCTCTGGGCGGCGGGACTTCCCTTTCCCCGAACCCCGCGGCTCGGCGCGGGCAGCCGGGCGCGCTGCCCTCGCTCCCCGCCTCCCGGCGCGGGGTAGGTGGAGCGCGCGGCAGCGGCGGCGCGGAGAGAGGGGAGCGCACCGCCGGGCCGCGGGAGACCCGCAAGTGGACGAGCGCTCTGTGCTCGGCTGGAAGCGGAGGATGGCGAGGAGAGCCCGCGACGGGAAATAAAGGGTCAGAAGGGGAAAAACCTCTGCGCCTAGCGCCACCGAAAACCCAAGTCGCGGTCAAGTGTTTCCCCCGTAAGAGGGCGGAGCGGCCCGGCTGGCAGCTGCTCGGCGGGAGACGGGTGGGTCCGCCAGTGCTGGGAGGGGACCGAGACGAAGGCTTTCGGGGAAAATTCCCTTGCCCTTTCCAGCCACCAGCGCCTCCCCTCCCTAAGCAGAGGAGCCAAGCTCTGTACCTCCATCGACTCCGGGCTGCAGGGTCAGGGGCGGCAGGCAGTGCAGCGGGGCGGGCGCGGCCACCCGGCTCCCTTCCCGGGCGTAAGGTCTCTGCGGCCACAAACAAATCAGCTGGGGTTTCCCTGGGCTCCTGGAACCCAGGGAGCCCCAACCCCCAACGAAAAGAAAAGTGAAAGAGAAAAGAGCGGGGAGGAACGGCGAAGATAAACACCCCCAGCGGAGGCTGGGGGAGGGGCGGGTGGCGGCAGCTCTTGGCCGGGTGCCCCAGGTGTCTCGGCTCCGTGAGCCCTAGGAGGTGTCCGCCGGCGCCAAGCCCGGGGGCGCAGAACCTGGAGGGCAGGGGGGGAGGAAGGCAGGCTAGGCGCTCCAGCCCCGCCTCCTGGGACGCTGGCCCTGGCCTTGGCCTATCCCTCCCTCGTGGGACACATGCAGGGAAGGAGCTAGAAGGTGACCCGAAGTCCATCTGCCGCATCCACGGGCCCCATGGCCACGCGAGGCTGTCCCAGCTGCGACTGAGACCTGGGCGCGGCGCAGGTCCCAGGGGTCCGCAGGAGAAGGAAAATGTGTTGGGTCGGGATGGGCGGCCACTCCAGACCTTGACCCTCCCTGTAGGCTGGAAGAAGGCAGGCTCTGAAGTCCTAGTAAAGAAAACATGGAAGGAAGACACTTGGGCGACTACTTTGTCCAAGGCAGTTGGCACGGAGGGTGAATGAACTTGAAGGGAGTCTGTCTGCGGGCCACTTTCCCAGTCTAGTACATAGTCCGGTATGACACATTGCAATAGGACCGTGTGAAATGTTATTGTAGGGTGTTACTGCTGAAAGAACCAAGTTCCTTGAGGCTAAGGGATTCCAATGCCTCAAAGCCTGCAGAAAAGGTTTCAGTTTTTTGGAGGCACTTTGGAGAACCTTGCACGCATTGTGAATCACTGAAAATCCCTAAGGGAAGGGTGCTTCCCCATATTTTTCAGAGTTATGTCATAGGAAAAATAAGGCTCCCTGGAGCTTGGTAAAACGTTTAACTTTCTTTTGCATTACACACATGTTAAAAATAAAACAGAAACAGAAGTGATTTAAATATTAAATGTACCTAAGGTTCCATATAAAATCACTTCACTTTTTATGAAAAGCTTGTGCTCTAGGTAGTCACTGTCAGCAAAATGAGATGAAAATGTAAATACTCTTTTACAACCATTCAAAATTTCACCATAGTTGGAAATTATATTTAAAGAAATAAAGCAGTTATTCTTTTCTGTTCAAGACAATGTAATACTGATTTTTCCTGTGATAGTGCCAGTGATTTAAAATCCAATCAGACTTGTCCATGGCAAAGTTAAGTCCCCTACAGACAAACATTCAAGTTGCAAACTTTCAAAGATGCAAATGTGCGTTCACATGTCCAGTCATATGAGTGAGTTCATTTGTCTGGCATACATTGTCATGTATGTGCATTGTCTACACATACAGCACTGTATAGAGTAGAGTAGCTCAGTATATTTCAAGTCCAGCATCTCCGGAAGCAAGGTAAAAGTAATGATGATGTCGTTGGTACTGATACATGCTACTGTACTTTTCAAGGTGCTGTACTATAAGATTTAAAATGTTTATTTTTTGCATTTGTTATGTATTATTTGAGTGGAAAGTTTTATAAACCTATTAGGGTACAGTACTATATAACTGACTGCATTAGTTGGGCACCTAGGCTAACTTTGTTGGACTTAAAGAACGTGCTCTCGGAATGGAACTCATCTGTATGCAAGGGACTAACAATACACTGAAGCTGTGATCTGCAGAATGAACATGCATCCTGAGATCAGGCTTGCACAGGATTGGATTCTGTTACAATAGACAAAGCAGCCCCAAAGGCAAAGCATGTGTATATGTGAATATGGAAACTAATGATGAAGAAGTGGATCTGTGTCTGCTCATTGACTTGAACTGCCCCAGTCTTTCGTGGCTCCTGCAAGATGAACTCCCATACCTCCTTCAGCTCCCCTACAGATGCTGTGTGATCTACAGCTGATGGCTGAAGCAGTTGTCCAGATAGTAAGGCCGCTCTTTGGCCTCACTCAGCAACAACTAGCAGAAGGAAATATCACTGCCACCAGAGGTCAGGTCATCACCTGCTGCACGTGGCTGCCTAAGAGCACTTTAAAAAAGTTACTGTTAGCTGAAGCTCACTAGCCTGGTGGCTCTGGCTGACCCCAGGGCTGAGAGACATCAGTGTCTGACAGCACACTTTTAATACATGGTCGTCATGTATTTTCTGAGCTACTGGAGAAGTTTTCACCGTGCTGTGAAACTGATGGGAATTTTCTTCATATAGCCAAACTAAAATACAATCAGTATAAATGGTCTCTGGCTATTGATTGAGCTTCTAATACATGTAAGCTCTAGAACAAGATGGACTGAATGAAATATAAAGCATTTAGTCAGGAGATAAAATAGCACAAATGACAAGAAAGTTGAGAAATGGAATATCCTGCGCTATGGCTCAGTGGTAAAGAATCTGCCTGCCAATGCAGGAGACACATCGTAAGCAGGTTGATCCCTTGGTCAGGAAGACCCCCTGGAGTAGGAAATGGCAACCAACTCCAGTATTCTTGCCTGGAAAATTCCAGAGACAGAGAAGCCTGGCATCTACAGTCAAAGGGGTTATAAAGAGTCAGGCACAACTGAGCACACACACGTGTCACGTCATCAGTGAACAAGGATGTCACAATCATCAGTGATTGCAACCCTCCAGTGCGAGCTGGTGAACCCTGAGGGCACTCAGGAAGAAGAATACCTGTTAGCTAGCAGCCATGGGACTACAGCCACTCCATATGGTGAGCCATGAGGAAAGGAAGCTCAAAATGTGAAAAACACAGGAAACGCCCCAGACAGCTGAGATGCATAAGAAAGGGATGATTTCAGTAAGCTCAGACTCTTGCATCTTCCCATACATAGAAAGCTCTAAATTCCTTAACTTGGGATATCTGGTTTTCTTTAATTAACAGCAATCCTGTGACTGTGACATTCAGAGTACCTGCCCTTTGTTGCAAAACTTGTATATAACCTGGTTCCTCCCCTTGCCTCCCCAGCGCAGCTCTCTCAGCGTCACTTGAGATGCTGTCTCCCAGGCTCAAAGGTCTAAAAATTCCCATTGAAAAAAACATAACTCTCAACTTTTAGGTTGTGAATATTTTTTAAGTTGACAAATTGAAATTGAAACTGATGATGGCCATAGGAGAGACTTTGCTCAACTATATACTTGCCTCCTGAGCATGTAGGTCAACTTTGTTTTCTCTATTACACACAAAAATGTATATTTGAACTGGTTATATAAATTCGTGCAATTCAATAAGGTTGGGTTTTCAGCATGTTTTTGTTGCAGTGCCTCAAAAAGAGAAATCTAATGTATGCAACTTGTATTTTCAGTTGCCACAGGCTGCTTGGCAGGGTATTAAAAATTGCTCACACCAATGAACAAGTAAATCCCACTGTATAAATTAAAAGCAAAGGCCAAGATTGATGAAATTGCCTAAAGGTAACTCATAAAAGTACCCTGTGGAAAGAAGTAAAAATTAACTAAATCTCACAGAAGTGACGATAATAATCTTTCTTTGAATTAAAAAAATAATAAAATCATAATGGAATAAATTTTAATATTTGATTTTTCATTTGAAAGACAATATTACCTAATCAGCTAGTTTTCTTTAAAATAAATGGCTAACGAATGTTTTCTGTAGCTTTGGCAACTACGTGGAAGCAGTTGAAATTTAGCTCATCTGACTTAGTGTTCAAAGTCCATGATTGTGACCTTATTTATAGTTCTCCTAAGGAGCAGATTACAGAACTAGAAAAAGCTGACCTTCTGGTCTTTGTAAAACATAGACTGGGACCCCCCCTCAAGGTGCCATTTTGGTTAAAACCTTACCTCGAGGTTGCTTCCCACCTCAGTCTTTCTGGTGGTCCTGACAACCAAGAGCAACATTCTTCCTCTTAAAGAAAGTTTTTAAGAGCTTCTTAAATTGCTGCTTCCTCAGAGGTGGAGCAATACTAGCTACTATTTCTGTAGTTCCTAGAAGTGTGCCTACTAAGGCAAATATTAGCTCATTAAATCCTCATGATAATGCTATGAAATATGAACAACTATTACCTCCGTTTTACTGATGGAGAAACCAAGGCCACAAGAAATTTCACAAGTGGCCTGCAGTTCACAGGCAATTGGGTGGCCCCCTGCAAGGATCTGATCTCGGGTGGTCTAGCTTGGGTCCACCCCTAACCCCTGCCACCTCTAAACTGACCCACCCTCCACAGCTTCTGAGAAAAGAAGCCTTTGCTCTCAGGCAGTATCTGGCGGTCGTATTTTGTTTGCTCCAGAGTGATTTTAGCCGTCACCAGGGAGGAAACTCATCGGTTCCCTTGAATTTCTACTTCCTGATCTCCTTGTGTTTCTGTAATGAAACTGCCATGAGGTGTGTAACTCCTTTATGCAATAGATTATTTGAATAAAATCACTGACAACAGGCTGGCAGAGCTCTGCTGAAGGTCATAAACAGAAGAACTAGTGGCTGATACCTTCTGGCAGATGCCCATTAAAGATAGTGACTTTGTTTGGACTGCAGAGTCAAAGGGTGCCCACGGCAAAGAAGGAGAAAGGGCAGCTAGTGTCAAGCTGTAAATGAATTTAAAATAATTAAATAATGACATGAGACTTAATGTGATTAAAAGTATATAGTATCTTAAATGTTTTGTTATGTAGTAAGAAGAACAAGGGGTTTAAACAGAACCAAGAGATAATTTAATGTGCTAATAATACTACTCTGAACAGTCTTAAAAGACTGATCTTATCAATCACAATCTAGTTCAAAATACATTACTTACCTTACTTAGATTTATGAGAGTAAATACTATAAATGTACACAGTATGACTGGGTCTTTTTGGCATTTATTTCAATGACTAATTATAAAAAGGGATTTCATTTTCATCACATATACTTGCTGAGGATGGAAAAGACACATTACTTGAGTTAGTCCTCTAATTTAAATGAAGTACTTTTTACAATATGTCATAATTTTAATGAAAGGGTGTGAACCAAAGTCAACACCAATAATATTCTACATCAGCAAGTTAAACTGACATTGATTTTGATTTTGATCATATGGCTAGCAAATACGCCCTACATAAATATTTGAGTTTATGTTCAAAAATAGTTTCATCTGTCATTTATTGGTTTTAAATTCTTGCTAAAATCAAAACTTTGAGAACATATAGATATGTGTGTATGTATGTGTGTATATAAATACTGTTGCTGCTGCTAAGTCACTTCAGTCGTGACTGACTCTGTGCGACCCCATAGACGGCAGCCCACCAGGCTCCTCCGTCCATGGGATTCTCCAGGCAAGAGTACTGGAGTGGGGTGCCGTTGCCTTCTCCATGTATAAATATATATGTACACATACACATATATATTGTACA